AAATATACTCCCTAACCCAGTAAAGAAAAAATTTCCAAGCAAAGCAATATGAGACAAAAGTCTACAAAAATACCGCTGAGTTCATCTTGTGTTGGTCGTGGGAACAAATACAGAGACCCACAACCTGCCATATGTAAATAGCGAGACACCTTGAAACATTCAATCCTAACCACGGTGTCTCCATAAAAACCTTCCCTTTGGGGAGCCTTGCAAAAGATGAAGCAAAATTAATTTAAGAGCCAGAAGGGGAAAAGGACACCAAGAAAACAAGACCTTCTAAACACAGCAGAACAGACCACACATAGAACTCACAGAGACTGAGGTAGTATGTACAGGAGCTGCACTGGTCTGTACCAGATGAGGTTCTTGAGCTGAAAGACAAAGACACAAGCCCTCTCCCTAACCCAGAAGCTATCTCCAATTGATAACCATTCATAAATGGAAAGTTATTTTTCTTCAATGGAATCTTACTAGATACACAAACTACTCTTAAGGGCAGGTCCTGTGCCCAGTAGTAGTACATGGACAACACAAAATGAACTCAGTGGAATCTTTGGAGGCACTGTGTCTCATATTTTGTCAGGGCAATTTTTTAACCCTACAGGTCCTTTGTGTTTGTATCATGGCTTCTCGTTCTGTGTTTTCAAGGTATTACTATGTGTGTGAACATGTGTCTCATTGCATCCATTGTTTCTTGTGCTTTTTCTTCTATTTTGTTCTACTTTGATTTGTTTGTCTTTGTGTTGCTTTATTATTATTCTTTAGATGCTTGTTTGTTTTCTAAGCAGAGACAGAAAGGGTGTAGATCTGCATGGGAGGGGAGATGGGGGGTCTTGAAGGCATTGGGGAAGGAGAAATCGAAATCAGAATATAATGTATGGGAAGAAAAAATTTTTCAATAAAAGATAATGCTCAGTATATTGTCAGCTGGTCAAGCAGGTTTTATACCCATAGATATGGACCTTGCTCAGCCCTGGTGAGAGAAGCTACTTATTGTGCTGGGTGTGGTCAATGCAGAGGTTGACCCCTAGTCAAGGGATCAAGAATAAGTGACTGGTTAGTGCTCACCTGTTAATGTGGCATCCGTAGCACCCCTTCCAATGCTCAAGAAAGGTGAAGGAAGAGGGACAGGGGAAATGTTCAAGGTGGGACATAGGAAGGAGTGTTATAAAATGCTGGCCTCTGGACATGACATGAGCATTGTACCCATTGTTGTAATTTAAGAAAAGCAGCACTCAAGAGAAAGATGCCATGGGACAGGGTTCAAGGAGAGAAGTTTTTTTTATTAGAGAAAGGGATCATAAAGAATGGAAACGGGAGGGGGAGACCACTTTCAGAGACAGGAGCAACAGGAGAGAGGGGAGAGAGAGGAAAAAGGGGAGAGAGAGAGGGCAGAACAAAGAGAGGGAGAAAAAGAAAGAGAGAGAGAGAAGGATGGGAGGTAGGCAGGGGCCTTTCAAAAGGGAACATCATGACTATGCACAGGAGGTGCTCTTCGTGGCTGCAGCTGAGGGCATATCCTGTCAGAACCCCAAGGACAGGCCAGTACAGATGCCTGAATACTAACACCCATGAACTCACAACAGCTGAGGTTGCTTGTGCAAAACCTGCACAAAACTGGTGGTGCCATCAATGTCCCCCATGGATGGGGAAGGGACTATATGATGGCCACCCCTACCAGCTGAACTATTGTCAGGTGAGAAATGGGAGGGGTCTTCTTCAGTATTTTACCACTGGTAAGTTGCCATTTCTTCAATTTCAGGTAATTTTTTAACAATTTTACATCTTACTGGGAACAATCAACAATTTTAAAGTTCATGGAAATCATTAAATTATCTACCAATTGTAACTTAAATGAACACAAAAATAATCCTAGAATGAGGATGTATATATATATATATATATATATATATATATATATATAGAGAGAGAGAGAGAGAGAGAGAGAGAGAGAGAGATAGGAATAAAAGCATAAATGATATGTGATTTTTGACAAGCATGGTACAAACATAAACATAATCTGTCATTCATAGAGGTGAAATCTCTACCTGTGTCTTCCATTGTAAAATACAATAAGAACATTCTTTTATTGTTTCTTTGGTTTGGTTTTCAAGACAGGGTTTCTTTGTGTGACAGTCCTGGCTATCCTAGAACTTTCTTTGTAGACCAGTCTGGCCTCTAACTTACTTAGATCTGCCTGCCTCTGCCTCCCAAGTGCTGGGATTAAAGGTGTGCATCACCACTGCCTAGCTAAGAGAATTGTTAATAGGGAGCATAGGAGAGGCCACAGCAAGTAAGAGTGCTTGCTGTGCAAGCATGAAGACTTGAGTTTGGATTTCCAACACCCATGTAAAAAGCTGGGCATGAGCAACTCCAGTCCAAGCAATGTAGGGGACAGAGGCAGAAGAATCCATCACCTTGCTTGCTGCCTGGTAGCCTAGCTCCAGATTCACTGATAGAGAGACATGTCCTTAACAGAGTTAGTGAAAACCAATAGAAAAAGGCACCTGATTTCCTCTTCTGGCTCCTGCACACACATGTGTCATACACCACGCACACACACACACACACACACACACAAACACACACACACATGCATACACAGATATACATATACACACAAAGATTTTATAAGAATATTTTATACAAAATAGAAGGCTTTGGTATTTAAAGTTGGAGACAATCCTGATAGAATTTCTCAACTCTCACATTGATCCGGTAAGAGGGACAGGGTGCTGCGCTCATCCCCCCATACTTCCTGTTTCTATTTTGAAGATGAACAGCTAAAGCAACTATTCTTTTTTTTTTTTTTTTTCTTATAAATACTCAGCCTTAGCTTGGCTTGTTTCTTGCCAGTCTTTCTTTTTATTTTTTTTTTCAGATTCTTTAAATTTGAATTAGAAACAAGATTGTTTTACATGACAATCCCAGTTCCCTTCTCCCTCCTGTCCTCCCCTACCATCCAGCCCCAACTAAAACCCTACCTATCATATCCTTTCTGCTCCCCCTGGATGATGAGGCCTTCCATAGGGTGTCATCAGAGTCTATCATATCCTTTGGGATAGGGCCTAGGCCCACCCCTGTGTGTCTTGGTTCAGGGAGTATTCCTCTATGTGGAATGGGCTCCCAAAGTCCACACCTATGCTAGGGATAAGTACTGAACTACTACAGGAGGTCCTGTAGATTTCTGAGGTTTCCTCAATGAAATCCATGTTCCTGGGGTCTGGATCAGTCCCATGCTGGTATCCAAGCTATCAGTCTGGGAAGCAAGAGTTCCCCGATGTTCAGGGCAGCTGTTTCTGTGGGTTTCACCAGCCTGGTCTGTACCCCTTTGCTCTTCACTCGTCCTTCTCTGCATCTGGATTCCAGTTCAGTAGAGCGATAAGTTGTGGGTGCCGGCTTCTACTTCCACCAGCTGCTGGATGAGGGCCATCGGGTGGCATATAAGTCAGTCATCAATCTCATTATCAGGGGAGGGCACTGAAGGTAGCCTCTTCTCTGTTGCTTAGATTGTAGCTGGTGTCATCTTTGTAGATCTCCAGACATTTCCCTAGTGCCTGCTTTCTCTGTAAACCTAAAATGTCTCCCTCTATTATGGTATCTCCATTCTTGTTATCTTCTATTTAAAGCAGCTATTCTAAGGCATTTTTTTTGCATAAATGCCCACAAATGCACCTAACTGAAGGAACTTATCTTGGGTTGGTTGCAACAGTATCTGAAAACAGTGTCTGCCAGGGAACTGAAACCTGATATGAGCCATAAGTGAGTAAAGTTTTGCAGGAAAACTTCTTTGTTGTCTGTTTATGAATACATTCTCTACTCTCATTCCTATTCTCACCATTTCAGACATTATTTCATTTAGTGACTAATTTGTTCTAGTGCTTTGTACCTGCTAAGCAAACTAAAAATAGGGTGGCAATCTGATAGGTCTCTCTTGTCTTGTTCCTGTAAGTCACGTCCTGCATTTGCACACTAGCATGCATGTACACAAACACACTCATGCAAACTCGCAATTAAGTAGAACACATTCACTCATCTAGCAGCTCATGTGCTTGTTCTAGTAGCTTCTAGCTCTTGTCATCCACTGTATACTTAAAGGATGACACTATTCAGTTTCAGAAGTCTGAGAACTCAAACCTCAAGCTGATGAGTAAAATTATGAGCTATGTTAAATAATTAGACTCAAGTAATCTGAAAATTAACTAGCCTCTCAAGCAGCTACAATGTCAGAATTTAAACCTGAATGATCTCCATATGCCATGCTTAATTACATAGGATTCGTCCTGACTCACTTAATAAGAAACAGACATTAATGAAAGTATGCCAGCCCCTACTGATCAACTAAATATTCCAGACTCTTTCATGAGCTGTTCTTTGAGTTTGCTCTCAGGGAAAGCACAAGGTGGTTTAAAAGTTCATTGTGGATTCACCTTATAATATCTATTCCCATTGACTCTTGTTCATAAGTTCATATGTATACTAGTTCAGCAGCATTGCATCACTTTCACGTACATTACTCTACCATTTTGATTACAAAGGAACTCACTATACATTGATAAGTCCTTTACTACCTGACTTTCTCAATTTAACAGGGTGGGAGATAAGCATCTCATAAGATAATGCACTTTGGCCCCACATCTATTTGGAATATTCTGTATCTGTATTGCACCAATTACCCTTTCTAACCTTTTTCTAAATTGAGTCCAAGATAATTTTCTTTTACACTCAAAAAATAAAACATTGGCTATAGATTGACATGGGAAAGTGTCTTATCACAGAAGATTGACTGGGAACATACAATCATTACTATATTTATATTTTTTCTAGAATGTGTAGTGAACTGATTCAAACAACATACTTCTTTCTTCCCTATAAGTCTCTCTGATAGTTCCAAAGGAAATATTATATTCATACATTAGGTAAGACATGGTCAAATTTAAACATTCTATTATTCTGCTTTTTGTGCTATGAGTTTTCACTCTTGTACAAAATGCCTCCAAAGTTTTCAGGAGAAATTCAACTAAATATTCCATGGACCTTTAAGACACAACCCCAGCACAAACCACCTTAATGTGAAAATTTCCAGGTTGAAGAAAGTTGTTATTTGACATTGAAGGTCCAGAAGATGATATTGATAAGTCCACCATGCAGTGCTCACAGCCTGTGTGTTTCAGTGCCAAGGTTTAGCTTCTCCTACAAATGGATGCATATTCTGTGGGTGCCTCTTGGATGTTGCTTGCCTGTCTTGGGTTCCTTACAATGACAGAGTGGTTCAGAGAAGCATAAACAATGCTCTGTTTGCTTTCCTCCAATTGTGAGTCAGTTGTGGATTCAGACCTTTCCTGGACACCTGACAAGTCATCATTATCGTAAATGCTAGTTTCTGATGGCAGTGTTTGGAAATTTGTCCTGGGACTCACTGGAATATCAACCTACAAGAGAAAAGAGATGTACCACGTAAGGACGTGAAAAGGCATAGTCATTATTAGATTCTGAGTGAAAGACTACCTGGTGTCATGCACATTGAGATAGACTGTCTATTGTTCCTCATATAAGCTACCTAATATCTACATTTACAGTACACTACATCTACATTATATTAAAAGATGAAAGTGTTTGTTTGTTGTTTGGTCTTTTTGTTTGTTTGTTTTGAGTTTTTGTTTTGCTTTTTATGTTATGTTCAAGTCTTCATGAGTGCTAGGCAGGTATTTGACCACTGAGCCCCAAAGGCCAAACAGTTGAAGTCCATTATGCTCTTCCCAAACAGTTGTTTTGTACTGCATTATGGGCCATCTGAGCTCACAGAACACAAACACAAGGCTCTTTCAATGGAAAAAAACCACAGTCCAGTTCATGGGAAAACTTCATAGTCCCACAAAAACTTTAGGCAGTTTATAAAACATTGGCATATGGTCCATAAACTACCAAAAGATCAAGCCAAAAGCAAAAAGATCTGAGACCTCTTCAGGAGAGCAGGAACGGGAAGCATCCATCGCAGGTTATCCAATTAATACACATTGTGATCAGAGAGCTAAATTGAAAAATGGAAGCCAATATTGAAAGAACAAAATTTGGATTAAGTCCTAAAATAATATTCTAGTTCTTGTTTCTATCACAAGAAAATCATTGTACTTTCAAATAGTATCAGAGACCTAAATGGTGTGAGACAGAGGGGAATTTGTGGAAACTAAAGTGAATCCTGTTATTTTCTCCCTCCTTTCAGTTATTTGTTAACTGCTCCTGGCTAACACGAAAAATGCAGATGGTAAAAATTATGATGTGTTAATATAAAGGGTTTTAATTTTTATGTATGTGTGTGGGTAAGGTGCATTCACCCATGTGTGTACATGAAGAGGTCAGAGGTCAATGTCAGGTTTCTTCCTCTATTTGTCTCTACTGTATTTGTTGAGAAAGGTGTTCTCACTAAAGTGGGGAATTCACTAGTATTTAAACTAGGCTGGATGGCCAACGACCCCGCTTCAACCTCTTTTCACTTCCTCCAACAACATGGGGTTTTAAAATGTATACAACTACACCTAGATCTGGCATAAGTGCTGTGGATCCAAACCCAGTCCTCAAGCTTGCACAGAGTACTTAACCCACTGATCCATTCCACCAGGGCTCCACTTTGACTTTTTTATTAATCTCCACTTTGCCAGCCAAGTTACGTTCTTCCTACAAGATACTAGGTTCTTCATCTTTGACTATTCATACTCCTGTGGCCCTTGATAAGTCTTACTGTGACATTTGCAGGAGGATTTGTTTTATGTCTACTGAGGAAATCTCTGTCCTAAAAACATGCTTAGTCCTAACTTGAGAAATGAGGCAATACATGACAATAAGCTATAATTTTCCTATGAGGTGAGCACCTAGAAATAACAGTAAGGCTTGAGGTCTGGAAGAACTAATGGTGGGTTGACTAAGATAGAAAGTGCCCCCACACAAAATGAGCCTGCATGTGGGGCTCAGAGGACTGTCAAATTAATTGATCAAGAATTGTGAATTCTCTGTATATCACAAGGTCCCTGCTATACTTTCCAGTCTTTACTGGTCTGTCAGTTGAGTTGTCTCCTTCATCAGAATGGCTCATCTCATGTAAAATTCTGTTAGCAGGAACATGTTCTTTGTACCTGAAGTTCTCCTGTGACACTCTATAAAAGCGTTGGGTGCCACAAGGCAGGTGCACTACAATGTAGTGGCCAGAGATGATAGAGATGTTAGACAGAGGCAGCCATCTCACCTTGCATGCCTATTACAGTGGTAAGGCTCCTTTAAAAATAAACTTGTTGACTTATAATTAACTTCCCAAAAGCCTCACCCTTTTAAGTGTATTATGACTGAATGGACTTACTATGTAACCACTTTTAGTCCCTTAGAACAGTGGTTCTCAACCTGTGGGTCACAAGCCATTTGACAAACCTCTATCTCCAAAAATATTGACATTACAACTCATAACAGTAATAAAATTACAGTTTTGAAGTAGCAATGGAAATAATTTTATGCTTAGGAGTCACCACAATACGAGGAACTGTATTTAAAGGTCGACGTATTAGGAAGGTTGAGAACCACTGCCTTAGAAGGGCCAACCTGAAATAAGATCAGAACTTTGGACTTTTCTGGGTTTTTTTGTTAGCCTATAGCAACTATACACAATAATGTTTTACTATGACATACATGTATACAATAGATTGTTCATATTCACCCTCCTTTGTTCACTATTTTCTCATTCCCAATCCTCCCCATCCCCTTCCTTTTTCCAACTTGTTCCCTTTCTATTTTGATGGTTCTCCCTCAGTGAATTTCATTTTGGTGGCTAACAATAATGTAAGTGAGGGTTTATTTACAGTAACTACACTGAAACAGGCTCTCACTCCCCATCAATTATTGACTACTGTGTGAATCCCTCCCCACTGCATACAAAGTTGTTTATGGGCCCTAACTTACACAAGTATTATGCAGATAATCACAGCTGATGTAAAAAAAAATCTGGAGTGAGTGTGTGTGTGTGTGTGTGTGTGTGTGTGTGTGTGTGTGTGTGTATGTATTGATGTCATATAAATTTGCTGGAAAATACATATGGTATAATATAAAATGTGTATGTATTCTTAACAGATATTTCAAACATACCCGGTTAATTTCCCTTCCTGCTAAGTCAGAAGGCTTCTTTTCTTTCCCTGAAAGATTGAAAAAAAAGGGGGGGTAATCAAAAGGTGTTAAGAAGGCAAGGTAAATTATCTTCCCACTATGCCCACCTCATTGCATGCCAGCAGTCATTTTGTTAGTTTTGCCTTGCTGACTGTCTTGGCTAGTATTATCACACACCTCAGCCTGTAAGAATGCAGATGCCCACTTCCCTGCATTCACTTCTTACATCACCCAACAGTCTTCACATCCAAGAGGAAGGAGTAGGACAGTTTCAAATTTTGGGAGTCACTGTATACTCAGTGGTAAACACGCTTTTTCCAGCTCTGTGACATATGGGACATCTATATCATACTCCTTCCCTAAGGTTCAGGTAACACTGAAGAAATATTGTAAGAGGCAGGGGTTTGTGAAGACTGAGGAAAAAACTGTCTCCTGGACATGACTATGCCATTGTATTAAATAACTCATAACACCTGTGATTTCTTGCACAGACTTGTGCAAGATTAAGCCAGCCAGCTTCCCAGTACAGGAGCCCTGCAACCTTTAGCTGATGACAGATAATGGCTGCTAGGAGAGGAAGAGTCAGTTCTTTTATGTGTGTGGTCTCTGGTAGGTTACAATGCCCCAGTGAATCTCCATGGCTGTATGTATTTGAGCAACACTAATTGACCCAATGGGATATATATTGTGGTAGTTTGAACACAATTGGCCCCCATAATCTCATAGGGAGTGGCACAATTAGAAGGTGTGGCTTTGGTGGAATGTCTATGGCCTTGTTAGAGGAAGTGTGTCATTGTGGGGGATGGGCTTTGAGGTTTCCTATGCTCCAGATACTAAGAGTGTGTCAGTTGACTTCCTGTTGCCTGGAATATGTAGGACTCTCAGCTAATACTCTGGCATCACATCTGCCTGAACACTGTATGCTCCACGTCATGATAATGGACTGAACCTCTGAAACTGTAAGCAAGCCACTCCAATTGGTCATGATAATCTCTTCACAGCAATAAAACCCCTAAGGAGAGAGAGAGAGAGAGAGAGAGAGAGAGAGAGAGAGAGAGAGAGAGTGTGTGTGTAACTGGGAGGAAGACATAGGGAGATCTAGGAGGGGTTAAAGAAAAGGAGCAGGTGACAATGATCAAAATGCAATGTATTCTGTATGAAATTCTCAATAAACAAAATTAGAAAAATGTAACTAATGTTTTTGTCACATCCATGTTCCCAGTTCTCTTTGGATATGATGGCCAATAAAGATTATTCTAGTTTCTTGTGCTATGTAGTTACAGAGGTAGGTTTACAGGGGGTTCCTCATAACTGTGAAAAGGCTCTGGGATCCAGAAGCACTTACTTCAAAACACCAGAAGCACTTCCGCCCAGACAAAGCTTCTCTTGTGGCAGCCAAACAGGGGATGCTTTGTCCCACTCAGTTTCTACACCCACACTGTTGCTCATATTGTAGAAAAGGGGAGGGGAAGACGTGGAGAGGAACAGCGAAATAGAGAATATAGATGGACCAGCATGCCTCTCCTGCTGAGTTTTACTGTTCAGTGGTGACGATGACATGATTTCAAAAGGAAAAAGCAACTGTTTTCAAAATCTAACAACTCTTTCATTATAGGCAAGTTCACATTCTCAAATGCAGTGCTATTGAGTAAAAGCCTAATTCAAGTATGTGTTTATAACAGGAATAGAAAGTATAAACCCATATGAAATCCTTCTGCAGACCATGATTCTTTATTTAGATAAGGGTGTGTATCATTGGAATTATGTGGTAGAGTTGTGGAAAGGGCTCAAAAGGAATAACTCAAACCAAACATGTTGATTCAAGAGATTATTTCAACGTGATTGAAGTTTGGGGAAATGCTTTCTTGAACACACCTAAGATTGATGTGATAGTATGAGAAAGTTCCAGCAATGTGTCCTCTTAGCCACAACCCTGGTTAGCACTGTGATGTGGTGAGTATGCTTTACCATGCCTAGAGGGAGCCCAAATTAAGCCATTCAGTTTTCTAGTAGAATACAGTAGTTCCCCAGGAATCATCCAGAAAGCAAACACTAGCCAGCTAAAAACAAAATCTATCAACTCTAGAAAATAAACCTCAAAATGTGTGGCAGGTGAGGGCAGAGGGAAATTGCAACCCACCTTGGTGCCTTTTCAGGAAACAGACCAGGCAGAAACAGACAAGCAGCAAAGGCAATGCCACCAAAGGAAGCAACCTGTAAAGCAGCCAGGTCTTGTCCGCCCTCTCTTCCATGGTGGGTGGTCCTGAGGCATTGATGGCATCTGGAATGTCAGACACTGCTGAAAATAGTTAAGAAGTCCTAGAAGCATTAGAGTTGGCAATACCCCTTTGCATTGTCATAATTTGAATAGAGGAACTTTCAGGCTAAGCCCTCTGTTTCTCCTTTGGGGGTGCTAGTACCATCAACCCATCTTTTTAACTTTTGTGGACATCTCACATTCTGCTTGAATGACTCATCTGTAGGAATATCTCTATGATAGTTCTCACAAACCACTCCACCAGGCCCTTCTCTTTATATATTTAGTTCAGTGATCAGGAAGTCATTTTCTTTACATAGTTTTAAAACTTGAGAGAGAGAAATGTTATTGCTCCAAAAATTGCCCAAAGACAAACAGCTCATGAATGGCAGTAGGGACCCACACCAGCAGGTTTCTGATGGTACAATTTGCTCCCTCTTAAAAGTCATCATTATCTCCAAACACAAAGTGTAATGATTCAGGCATTATGCTGGCCCGCCCCTGTCACCTGGCAGAATGCACTCAGGCAGTACTCTGGTCAGCCTAGGGTTCCATGAGTACTAGTCTGCACACAGGTGCCAAGGACCCGTCTCTCTCTCTCTTCATCCCTCCCTCTTGCTCTCCCCCCTTTAATAAACTCTATGGTTAATGAATCTCTTGTTTTGTGTTCCATCGACAACACAAAGTAGTTTTGTTTTTACCAAATATGCTTTGCTTAGCATCCAGCTAATGTTCGTTATGACTGCTCAGTGTTAACATTCACCAGGTCCCTGTTTGATCAAGGTTGGTTGCAACTTATCAACTTACCCCGATGGGTGGATCAAAAATAGTATTTTTAAATAATATAAAACAAACTTAAAAACATCGGAATTCATAATGCACGCTACAGCAGTGGTCTTAAACCAGAAAATGTCTTATCCCCCAGAAACATGTGGTATTTGGGGGAGATATTTCTGGTATCACAAGGTGGGAGAGGGTCTGCATCTAGTAAGAAGTCAGGGGCTTGAGAATTCCCTGCATTGCGCAGGGCACTCCTCCATTCCCATAGCACAGAAATGAAACAACTCCCCTATCTGTGGGCTTTTGTGGATTGCCTTTTATGTGTGTGTGTGTGTGTGTGTGTGTGTGTGTGTGTGTGTGTGTGTGTGTGTGTGTGTGTGTGTGTGTGTGTG